TTTACCTGATGCAAGCAATTTCATTGGCTATTCAGCGCGGTAATGCTAGCAGTGTTATGGGGACGTTTGAACAAGCAAAGATTCAGAGCGGTCTTTTTCATTCTTATAGTCAATTAAAAAGTAACTTAGTCTGACAGATTGCATTATTAATTTTTATGTGACGAAGCCTGTTGCTGATGTATATTTGTGTCTATAAAAAAATACCTGACGAAGCCAACGTTGCGATTTGACATTTCGACTCATCCGTAGAACAAAGATCTATGTGCAAGTCTAGTTATTCTCGGGATCATAGTACATTTCGTTCGTTCTTCTTCGCTGTGGATGTCAGATCGACCGTTGTTCGATTTTATATTTCCGAAACGAAATAATATATATAAATTCTCAAAACACCTTTACATGGGCCTTAGTTTGAATAACGAAATTATTCTCGTAATGTATATCTTTTCGCTATATAATCACATCGGACTCTGTTCTTCGGATGAGTCGATTTCGTAATTACGTTTTTGAGCGTATACGTTTTTCTCCGTTTAGGGGTTAATTTGTTAATTTATTTTTAAATCTATCGATCAAATACACGGGATTGCTGCAATTCCTTTGGCCTGTATTTTCCTTTTTAATGATTTGGCCTACCGCCTCTCAAGCAGAGGCCGTGAGTTCGCAATTTTGAGTTTTTCTTAATTTAATTTGAAATTCACCATGAGCTTTCCGGTGAAGGAAAACATCGTGCACGTCGAAGAACCCCCCGTTCACACGGCATTGTACTGCACGTTTTTTCGCAGTATAAATCCGAACTGAATAAACAGTGGCGCATACATTAGATGTAGAACTGTTCACACGGTGTTTGTCCTACAAAAAAACGCACACACGTACAAACGCACGTCGAACACAAAAAAAACGTGCAGTGCAATGCCGTGTGAACGGGGGGAAGGATTCACAACCCTCGGAAAACCCTCGCCTGAGGGGAGACCCGTGCCCGGAGTGGGACGTATAAATGGGTTGATGATGATGATGATGAAATGAGAAATTCTTCTGAAAAGTCGTTTTAAATAAAAATAATCTCAGTACAGAGTACTAAAAAAACCGATCTCAAAAGTACGTGGAATTACGTCTATTTGCTAAGTTTTATTGAAATATCCCCTAGTTCGGCACTATACAAGACTTGACACTGGAGATAATAATAATCGGTTCTCACTACTCAAAGTATATTGAGAGAAAAACCTTGAATTGGAGAAATAGCAAAATCAATCATTAAAATAATTGCTCCTAAATTAAAGTTTAAAATGAATCTTAAAGGTGTCTTCAAAATTAAATGACACCACTATGGAAGTACCCCTTTCAAAAAAAAATAAAAGAATCATGAAAATCGGTTCACAAATACCGGAGTTATCGCGTAACATACATACAAAAAAAAGAACATACAGTCGAATTGAGAACCTCCTCCTTTTTTGAAGTCGGTCAAAAACAGACTCAACACGAAGTAGTATTTGTGTTACTAAAGAGTTGTTTAGTTTCCCGATTGGTTTCTATATCGCATACCTAAATAGTATTTTAAGTATTGAATAAACAGGCGTTTATATTCCCAGCTTATGTATGTATGTACAAGCGTGGTACAAACAAAGCAATAAAATACTGAATGCATGTTAGATAATGGCGCAGAAATCGGAATGCGAAAAATATAATTCGAAATTATATTGTCGTTGTGTTCTTTAATTCACAAACTTTATTACTTTTTTGCAGGTAAATAACATTACGGTTTTGCTTTTATTGACGCTTCAGAAACTTGAGAAATATTATGAAGCCTTTCTCACGTATTCCATTTACAATACATTGATGTAACAACTAAACGCAGTTTGTATCTTCTACGCCATGTACCGTCTCGAGTTTAGTTAATTAGTTGTTGAAAAAAAATTCGAGCTCGTGAGTAGAATAAATTCGCATCTAATAATATTTGATTTTTTTTTCATTTTACTAACATTTTTTATCCTTTTCATTATATAAAATATTTACTCTTTGGACTCGAGCGTATTTAAATAATGTTTGTACCTACTATGCTTCACAAACAAATTCAATTCGTAGCACAGATTTGGAACTGCATGTATGTACAATCTGCAAAAGAAAATAGCATCAAAGTTGGCCTAGAATTTCACATTCGAGTGGTTTGACCTGGGCGTGTTTCAGCACGACCCAGATTTTATAAACAAATGCATGCAGTTTGTAAACTGAATACATACAGTACTGTTGCTTATTTTCGAATACCCGCTTTTTATCATACCTTACGTACATATGATGCAATGTTTCGTATCTGTAGATTGGAATATAATAATAGTGTGCATTACTAATACAGAAAATAGGATATTGTAAACGAGTAGACATTACGAAGTTCGAGTTAAGGCGTAAGCGTACGATTTATAACCTTGGCACCCGAGTTTGCAAAATTTTTCAGCAAATTTGAGGAAGCAGCGCATATTTTTCTATAATTAACACATTGGGTGCAGTTAATCCATAATATCCGCGTGTCACTTGATGTACTAATACATGTGTTACAAAGTATAATAATAAAAACAACATCGAGTTTTGGAAATAATTACGCATGCGTAAGGGTTTGTTTTCAATAAATTGCAACAGGCATACTGTACATAAAATTAAAATTATAGACCATAAACTTCATATATGTGATTTTTTTTTTGAGAAATGAGGTATAATAATAAAATAATATATTATAAACTAAAATAAACAAAATTTATAATCACTGCTTAGTTATGTTTTGCGTTCTTGTTTCTACACATTTTTTTTTATAATATTAAGTGACGGGACGAACAAGTCGTGCGCCTGATGGTAAGCTATACGCCTGTCCATAACAGTTGCTGTGCCACTCAGAGCTTTAAATCGCAAAGCTCTGCGGGTCACCGCCACCGTGCCCGTCACCCTGAGACATAAGTAGACATGACCCGTGTGCCTGCAATTTCATCATTAAAATTTTTATAATTTATTCAAAACAAACTCTTTTAAATTAGTCTTCATAAGTAAAAACAATTTCCGCGCTGTAAAAGTAACTTTTCCAACAAGTGTACCGAAAAATAACATTTCAGCTTTGTGACGCTTTGACAGTTGTATTTGAAATTGACAAAAGTTAATATATCGCTTTTTGTATTTACGTATTACGTAACGTAATGCATTTTCTCGTCGCTATTGGTGAAAGGAAATGAGGAACAAAATACAAGAAATAACGAACAGCAGCATTTCCTTGTTCAATTGCAGCTTTACTCTCATCGCCAATTTCGATTATTTACAGCGTGGCAATTATGGCAATTTATTTATATTATGACTACATTTATGTAGACATTAACAAAATGAAAAAAATATTAGGAAAGCCATAAAGAGATAGCCTACGATAACAAATTTTATTAGCAGTAGAGCACCTTGTGACAGAGTTCGTCCAGGTAAGTACTGCCACCTTACCTGCTTCTGCCGCCAAGCAGTAATGTCAGCATTATTGTGTTCCAGTTTTCAAGGGTAAGGGTGCTGGTGAAATTACAGACACAAGGCACCTGTCAACTTATATCTATAGGTGACAGGCGCAGTGGCAGTGCTACTCAGGTCTTTGCGATTTAAAACTCTGGAGTGGCACTGCAACTGTTATGGACAGGCGTCTATTTTACCATAGCGCACGACTTGTTCGCCCCGTCACTTGATATTTTATTTAAAAAAAATTAATCAACTTTTTAACGTGGTACTGAATAATGGTGACAGATATGAAATTAGGTTAAGAATAGATACGGCAAAATTTGAGTTAAGTAAAATCGGGTTATGTCGGGTTACCATACGGTCAATGCGGGTCACAGATAAAAAGACAATAGACGTTATCAAAAGGGACGTAGAAGGTAATGCTGTTTTTTCTTTATTTATGGAGGGTTTTTTTTATTAGAAAATGTCATCCCCGTAATGACGGACTCTTTAAACATCATCAACGGTCTTCACTTAATTCCCAAATCAACAATATACAACAACAATTTTGCTTCCTTTGATCTTGGGGAAGATAAGAAAATGTTACATACACCCAAATCTGCCAAATTGCAATCCTAACTTTAGGAAACATCCTTTCTTTCGGCTCGGCGTGTGTCCAGATTGAATAGACGGTAACGTTGTATATATGGTACGTTGTATGTAATGTTGTGTAAAAACAATTTTTTTTGTTGTTTTGAAAACCGCAAGGTTGTTCAAGTAGATAACTTTTTCTTTTTTCTGGAAGGAACACTAACTTATTTTAAATGTAATAAACTCTCAGGACGAATAGAACAAAAACGAAATTGTTTAAATGTAGAAAATATTAATTTATATCTTTCAGAAATGCGTTAAAAAAATACTAGGGTGCATGGTCTATAGGCTTGCCTTTCCGCAATGAAATAGGAAGAAAACGAATCTACATCTTTCAAGGGTATTATTTTTTAAGCTTTCAAATTAAGTACCTACGTACTCAGATTACAAATTTGTAATCTGAGCCTACGTATTTGAATTTTAAACATATTTTTTTTTTCATTGTAACGGTAAAATAACAAACGGTAGACTGAAAAACGTTATACTCTTTAAAGTTATACGTTAAACCTACTTGAATAAAAATCAATCTTATTACGAAACTGCTACAAGGTCTTAAATCCTATGGGCAGCTGAAAATTAGGTCAGTGAAATGTTAGGACGGAGAAGAAAATGCCTTTTGCCTAGTTCAGCGCAGAACAAATACAAGCTGCCTTACTTTTTCTACATATACAAAAAAATAAGTGCCTATTTCTTTACCATGCGAAAATAGAAGATTATCGCAAAATAATGATTTAGCGAAAGATGTAAAAACAAGGCAAGGCTTTTTACGTATACAACTAAGGCAGAACAAGGAGCCTCGCGGAAGAAAATCAATACGTGCGAAACGAAACGAAAACACAAACAGCTGATTATATGAACTGACTATAATTGTTATACATCTATTAAATAAGTTGAATAGCACTTACCATGACTTTGTTTGGCTATCGTCAGAGTTATTATAGTTAATAGCAGGAAATCTGCAATACAATATAAAAACAAGCACATTTTATAACAACCACAACATACTTTTAAATATATACGTCTAGTTGTATTAAGCGTTAGATTGTTTTTGAAGAAGCACTAGAATATGAAACGCAGTTAGGTGTTATTAGGGAAATGGTCAATGTAAATTAGTTGCGTTGAACTAAATGTGAACAAAGGATCGAGTTTGTTTTGCAACACTAGCTCACCTCTGTGCTGTGCATTCAAGAACTTTCTTCTTTTCCCATCCCTCTTGAGTTTTAACCCATTCTTCACCAGGTGATCGCCAGTCCTTCGAGTAGAAGGGCATTTTCAACACAAACACAAAAATATCGCGAAGTGCACCCCAGAACGCACGACCGTATCTCCACGAAGTGAAACACACTTTGACTTGACTTGCTGCTTGATTCGAATGTGAAGGAAAGGGATACATTGTTTAGAAAGAGACAAATGCGCGCATGGGCCTTGTTTTGTTTGTGCATGTTGTGAAATAAAATGTCATGAACAGCTGTTTTTGTTATTGTATGGATTTATTGTATTACAAGGAACTTACTCGAACAAAAACTGTGTCTCAGGTTGTTTAAATAAATAACAAACAATTGAGGACTTCATTCAAAATAAATATAAAACAGGCATAGATTAATTTAGGTAGGTAATTAAAGTCAATGATATTATACTAAAATTTAAAAATACGTTAGTAGTTTGCGTCTTAGGTTTAATATCTTGGAGTTCTTCTCACAAAACGAAATCAATATTCAAAAAAGTACTCCTTTATTCATCAATTCATCAGTAAGTTTTTTTTTTCGGACAAAAAGGCACGTGTTGAAGTCCTATGATTTTAGGAATCATTCATTCCGTCCTTCGTGTAGTTTATAACTATTCGTTCAATTCAGTCATTCCGTTCATATTACATTCGTTTCTGGTAATTTGAGGTTATTTGCGTTGCGACGATAATTATTTTCTCGTAATGGGAGACTCCTACAAACCTAAAATAAACAGCAGCGGTGTTGACGGCAAAGATCCCGTTTTAAACAAAGCTGCGCTCGATTATATGAGAATAATCGAGGAGAAAAACCGTGAGCGCGTTAAAAAATTGGAACTTACTGCGCGAAGAAATCGTATGGTTGGTTTATCTATTGGCGCCGGGGTGTTTGGTATTTATCTTTATTCGATATTCGCTGTAAAGCAGGAGACGTTCCTCGACGACTTCAACGAACCCCCGAAGGTGCAGCAATAATGGCTGCCGCTAAAACGTTGCCGTTAAGATTACCTCCTTTACCGAGTATCAAGGACGTTATTAGATTGTACAAACTCCGTGCTCTCAAGGAATTATCGCAGAACTTTCTTATGGAACCACGATTGATTGACAAAATAGTGCGTGCTGCCGGCAATATAGAAGGTAATGTGGTTTGTGAAGTGGGCCCTGGACCTGGAGGTATCACGAGATCAATTATTCATCAGGCTCCGCGAAAGCTTATCTTGATCGAGAAAGACCGGCGATTTCTCCCTTCGTTAGAGCTGCTAGCTGATGCTTGTAAAGACAAAGTAGATGTAGATATAATAACTGGTGACATTTTGAAAACTGATATCGCGCATTTCATTCCTGGTGATTGTAAGAGGGACTGGCATGATGCTCCTCCTCCTGTGAATTTGATTGGTAATTTACCATTTAGCGTATCAACTATACTTATTATAAGATGGCTGGAAATGATATCTAAGCAAGAGGGTCCTTGGGCATTTGGACGAACGAGAATGACATTAACATTTCAAAAAGAAGTTGCAGAACGGATGGTTGCACCTATAATGGATAAACAGAGATGTCGACTATCCGTTATGTGTCAGAATTGGTGCAATGTAAACTATAAATTTGATATATCTGGGTCTGCATTTCTTCCAAAACCCGAAGTGGATGTAGGAGTTGTGACATTGACTCCAACAAAGCAACCAATAATTAAGCTGCCTTTTAAATTAATTGAGAAGATTGTTCGTCAGATATTCAACATGAGACAGAAATATTCAATTCGTGGTGCTCAGACATTGTTTCCGGCAGAAGTGAGGAATGAAATGGCAATAAAAATGTACAAGATGGCGGATATAGATCCAATGACTCGTCCTTTTCAAATTGCTAACACGGAATTTGCTAGAATTTGTCATGCATATAGTGAAATCATAAAGAAGTACCCAGAATTTGAACACTACGATTATAGAGCACCTAAGATCAAACAACCACCATCTCTACCAAAATCAGAGGCCGAAAGCAGTGTGAACTAATTTTTGTTTGTAAATAATGTTACCGTAGTTTTAATTAATGGTTAAAATTGTTTTTTTTCGTTGTAAACAAAATAAAATATTTGTGTCTCAACAAAAACATTTATTTATTTTGCCTTGAGCTGATGAAACTAGTTACACAGTATTTTTGTCTAAAACTAGGTAGCTACACATTTTATGTTATCCTAAAGTAGCGTAACACTGTATTATTGCTTACACTCTCGCTAAGACAGTAGAAGTGACAGGGTGCATACACCTATGGCTAGACACTGGTTAATGTTTCTTATAAGATCTGTTGCGCATACCTGGCATCTTCTAGGTTGCTTAACAATATTAAAAACTATGTGTTTGGCTGCTGTTCCTTAATATTTTGAAGTTTTTTATTTTTCTTGATCACCTTCATGTGCCTATTAGAATTTAAATGTATTGCATACTCTTTATCTCCTATTATAAGTCTCTGACAAACTTTGCAATAATTGTGTGAAAGTCCATCAATTTTCTTCTCTCTCTCTTTTGTACTCGAATCTAGCGGCTTAATTTCACATGGCGAGCCATTTATAAAGCTTTCTATTATTGCTATTGCTTTATTTTTAACATTTTCGTCCCATTTTGAAATATCTGTGGTGTCCAACTCGTAAATTGGTGGAACCTGAAACATTTTTCACATTAACGCCATCTGTCGGTAAACTAATAAATCACTTACAATTTTGACCATAGTTTTCACGAGCAGAATAAGCACTTTATTGTAGTTACGCTACTCGACACTAGATGGCGCTGTCATTAGTGAAACCTTTGCAATGGGGAATAGTTAGCTATAAATATTTATTTCAATTAAAGTATATAAGTACTTACTTCTCTATTACGATGCTCTAAAAAGCGTCCTTTAACCATTTTATTTTGTCTTCTGGCGTACCTCCGCGTTCCTAACTTCATATTTTCAATGCTTTCCTTTAACAACTTTTTGCCCTCCTCCGAGTTCCTTTGTTCTTCAGTTAGCATTAAATATCCGTGGAACTCTTTGAAACCAAGGGTTTGGAATACGCCTTTGGTATAGTCTGGTGGCCTAAAACAAACAAAAATGTACAATTTCATATAGATTTCATTCAATATATAGTATCATTAAATACACATTTTTAAATTGGAAATTAGACTATTTTTTCGGATTTAAATCGCGTATGTTTTTTCAAACAAACCAACAGGTTCCATGGTCAGCCGTGACCATATATACGCGATTTAACAACAATTTAATATCGATTTAATAACAGTTCTATTTCCAATGTGTAACAATCGGGAAAACCTTATGATGACCCTGGATAAATTTTTATTTATTTTTGTCTCAATGGTACCAGAAATAGATTAAAAACATTATTTACAAACAATGAAAAATAAGACATCGGACATCCAATGAGAACTGTACACAGCATTACAAAATTAGAAATAGTATCATCTTGAAACAATAAAAATTAATTAAAGACTAAAAAGGCAATGCTTAAAATTATGTTTCCCATTTTTTAAGATATCATGTGTCCCATGTACCGGCAATTTCACTAGCACCCTTACCTTTCAATACCGGGACACGGTAGTGCTCACGTTACAGCTTGGCGGCAGAAATAGGAAATGGTAACTACTTTAATGGACGAACTCTGTCGCAGCGAGCTCTACTGCTACGCTAAGCTATTTGTATTTAGTACAATATTTTGTACCTTCTGAGAATTACTATTTTAGTACAAACAATCGTAAAACGATTAACACCTACATAACAGACGTGGGCACAGCTGATATATTTCAAGGTTACTTATAGCCTGAGAAAATTGTTGCGTGCCAGTCTTTGCATGCGGAAAAAACGCTCGTATCATATCCAAAATAGCTTCCCAGGTGATTATTTACAGTCTTAAATTATTCAAATGAATTTAGTATATACGTCCAAAGTCACAAATTCATTAGGGGGAAAAGTGTACGCTTCTATAATAAGATTCCGTTTTAAGATTTAAAATTATGAGAACTATAGCGAAACAAAAACTTTATATTATACTACTATTATATTATAATATGTACTATATATTATTACTTTATATTATAGAGCTGTATATATTATAGCTTCTGCGTAATTGGATGGCAAAAATCCGTGGTAGTGACTCGTGTAGCTCTTGCTAGGTAGACTCGATCTATTATTTATGAAATAAACATTGTAAATGATAAATCTGTACAATTGTATTGAATATTTACAAAGAGCAACTTCTAGAGTTTCTCGTTCATTCTTCTCAAGGGAATCTGCCTAAAAGGGGGAATGCATTATTCTGTACTGCAGTCCGCTTTGCCGTCTGCCGCGTAATGCAGGATTATGAATGTATTTCCAACGCGCAAGGCATGCTGCAATCCTGCAATGCGTCCTGGGAGACTCCATTATGTGAGCCGTACGCAGGGTAGTGTGTGAGCAGTCTTGCCCTGCGAGGTGGACTGTCATGCAGGTAGTGAATGGGCCGTTTTATAAAGTAGAGCTGACGATTTCGAGTGTAATTTTCTTGCCTATAAAATAAGGATTATTTAATTTTAAGTTGGAATAAAAAAAACTAGAAAATTCGGTTATTATTATTTTCTTTTATGGCGGTATAAGAAGAATACAAAAATTATGGCGATCTTCGCCAATGTCAGTACGACGGTTTGATGATGATGTCGAAAGCTTTCTTTATAGAATGCATCGAATACATAAAATGTGAAAACTACTATAACAGGAGACTAAGCGAAAATTTTTCGTTACGTTAATTGAACGAATCCTTTTTTAATTTAAGTGTCTTGAATAATGACCACAAATTATATATTCAACAATACAAGGTAAATATAAACGTTTGGTTTTTATTTATGTTATATTGAATATATAAATTATGGTCATTTCTTGACCATAGATTATTCATGACACTTATGTTAAAAAAGATTCGTTAAATTAATGTGACGAATAAGTTTTACTTAGTCTCCAGTTATGGTAGTTTTCGCATTCTATAACAATAACAACAATAATAATAATATAATAATAACGTGCACACAGTCGTAGCCGCGCACTAGGGAATCACACACACACACACACACACATAGACAACCACAAATTACACCCAAACTCACGAGAGAAATAAATGTAGGTCATACAAATTTTTGAATCGAATCCGGGACCTCTGCGTGGTAGTCCAGGATGGTAACCGTCCGACCACGTAGGCAGTATACTAAACATAAAGAAAGCTTGCAACATCATCAGCGACCCATGATTATCCCACAACCAGGTATGGGACCAGATATGGGTAACCTATCACAAACTCGAATTAATGTTTCCGACATAACGTTTGTTCGAATTTTCATTACTCCGAAAACTGAATTATAACGAAACCGTTGTTCTTTCAGGATATGTTTATTGCAAAGACACGATTAGGTTCGGTTAGGTTAAGTTTAAAAGAAAAAACGTTTTCCTCTCAAATTACTTTCGAGGTTATGTAAATTCAAGCAAACGTTATTTCTGAAAAATGTCATTTCGGATTACGATAACCCCAGATATGATCGCCATACAAGCTCAATGCGGGTTTCTGCAAAGATTGTAACGTAACTTTGGAATTACAGTCGAAGTATTCGCCGCTAAAAGAATTTGAACCATGGACCTCTCGATTGAGAGACAACCATCTGTCCACTGGTTGCCATCGCTTGGAAGAAATCGCTTCATCAAAATGAAAAAGAATACTATGAAATAAGGAAATGACTGGTTGTACAAACCTGTATAAGGTTAAACATTCAACTTGGGCAGACAACAGTAATACGTAAAACAAAGAGTGTAATGGAGCGAGTGCGGGAACAAAACGCGACCGGTTGTAAGGGCAGCCTTTTACACGGATGTAGAGCTTGGATTACGCTCTACGCGCGGTTGTACTATAAACTTAAACAAGTGTGCTTTAAAGACTAAAATGTAAAAATTAGCTTTATGCATATATAATGATGTGTCAAATTGAAATCGATTTATTTATAATTAAAATACTTATCTAAGTAGCCAAAATGATACCGTTAGAAGTACGCTAGAAGGCATAATCGTAGATAGACTGTAAAAGTATCTCGATGATAACCCAATGGACGAAAGGTTACTTCTTAATTGAGAGACACACGTAAATTTGTTAACGTGCGGTTGCAATACATCTTGCTAAGGGTAAAGGAAAATATAGTGACGAAATGGAACACGAACAAAATAAAAAAAATAAAATAATGTTTTTATTTAATGATATCAAGTGATGGGATGAACAAATCATGCGCCTGGTGCTCTGCCACATACGCCTATTCATACGCCATAACGCCAACCCTGTGATATAAGTTGACAAGTCGCATGTGCCCATATTAATTTTTGTAAAAAGCAATATACATTCATTATTAATACAAAGATCGAACATTCAGAAAAAAATTCCTTCGATCCGGCTGGATTCGAACCGACGTATTCTAGCTTACCCTGCTAGATGCTATACCAACTAAGCCGCGTTACGAACCAGCGGACCTCACGAATTTTTCTGTGCTTGCGTCATACCTTTTGTATTTGGTTTATTCAACGACTTTTTAGTCGTAGCGCCATCTATGAGAAATCTATGAAAGTTTTGTCACTCAGTTAGATATATTTACAGTTACTAGCCCTGGCGAGAGATGTCGCTTTTCACTGTATTTTAAATTTTTATTGAATTGATATTCAATTATTTTTTTGTGAAATAATAATGTCACTAGTTTGTTATAATTATTAATACAAAGATCGAACACTCAGAATAATTGAATATCAATTCAATAAAAATTTAAAATACAGTGAATAGCGACATCTCTTGCCAGGGCTAGTAACTGTAAAGATATCTAACTGGGTGATGAAGCCATATACATTATTTATCAAAAATATTGGACATCAACCCTCAAAGTTATGGAGATTATAACAGAATAATTTTGAAGTACCTAAGATAAAGAAATATAACCAAAATTGTTTGTGTATGTGTGTTAGAATTTATAACAGAGTACCAAATAACATTAAAGACTCTTTGCCTATTAAACTATTTAAAACAAAATTATAGGCATGGTTGAAATATAAACATTACGGATTTTTTAAAATAAATATTGTTATATAAATGAATTTAAATTAATTTAAGTACGTACGACTTATTACAATGTTATATTACTTAATTATAATTTAATGTAATCTTGTGAATATAACTTTTATGCAAGTCTAGAATATTTTCTGACAAAATATTTTTGTTAGTTACAAACATGTTACCATAATCACCATGTTTCTAGCTAAATAAATGAATTTATTGATTGATACAATTTCGCCAGCACCCTCATCTTTCAAAACCGGAACGAAGTAATGTTCATATTACTAAATGGCGGTATATAAATAGGAAAGGTTAAAGGTCTGCTACTTGACGTTGACACGGTATGCAGCATTAACCTTTAGCTTCAAAGAATTCGAATTCTACCACTTCCAACAACTCTACATCAATGTTTACCAAGCGTCAATAGATTAGCTCTTAGTCTGTGGTCATCTCTTGCTACCGGACTTTTGTCTATGTCGCGCTAAACGTTTTGATAGTTGTTACACAAAAAGAAACAAAATCAATTTCACGCTTCTTTGTTGTTTAGTGTGAATAAAAATACTTTGTGAAACACGAATCGTTTACAAAAAGCGTTAAATTTATAAAGGAATGTGTTAAGCTCCAGTAAGCACTAATATTTTGTTGAGTACGTTCAACGGTAGAAGTCGCTGATGATTATGGAACGCTTTATAACACAAATTCTATGTAAATTTATATATAAAACGCAAAAGTACTTTTAAAATGGCCAATTAGTGTAACATGTTGCTATGCAATTGTAATCGTGACACTCTCCACTTGGAAGGAACCGGAAAGTTCGACTAACACATTAGTGTAGCTCTAAGAGCGTTTGTGCACTACGTCCGATTCGTATCACTTCCGTATCCGAGAAATGACGGTTCGAAATGTTACAGAGATCATTTTATCTCTAGGTGTACAAGCGATATTCTTATTTTCTAGGATTCGAATGGGACTTAGT